TCTGAGAGGAACAACTTGTTTTATTCTGGGACGGCGCGGTATCTCATTTCACTATATAAGTGGGAAGATGAAGTACTAACTTGACACTTGTATCTCTGTCGACGGCTTCACGAGGTGGAGGCGGATAATCGTACGGACTATCATTATTTTCTTCTTCATCTTCCTCAGATATTACATTCTGTACTGGTTGTCGAGGTGCAGCCCGTGGTTTTCGACGAGACACCTTGAAACGGGAGGCGGTCCTCGGTCTGTAAACCGGTTTAATCTAACGAAGAATCATAGATAATGCGTTATGGATTTTTGTGACATTACTAAGACAGCTGAAACCAAACAATTTCCTGGAGCTGTGTGATGCTTATGCTGTTCCCTGTTGATGTTTTGGATTTGAAAAGACATTTTTTGGATAGCTTTTGCAGGAGTCTGTATTCGATATCGCACGTTGGTATATACTATATTGGATTATAAAATATCATGAACAAAAACGTGGGTTCAGTTGCACTGTGTTTGTTTGGTGAATGTTCTACATACAAGCACATACGCCATTGATTACATGCAGTACTAATTCAAAACACATGCGCACTGACGTAGTTTATTATTCAATCCAATGAACACTGTGTTTAGCGATAAATATTGATTTAGGTATTTTTTAATATAAATAATCGATTTGAAATTCATCTATTACCTCTTTTTCTGGGGGGGGGGGTAATTGGATCTTTTGATCTAGTTTTTGAAGTACTGTCCAGATCGACTTTGATTTCTTTAACAGTAGCAAAAATATTTGTAAATCATTGACTTACATCAAGATTCATAAAGACTGACTCATCGTCCGGTGACGTATGTGATCGTCCACCTTCGGTATCATCGCTATCCATCAATTTGCTCGATGCTGCCTGGCTGTTATCAGGCTCTCCGTTTGCACCATTTCTCTCACTGAATAGTTTTTGTTTGCTGGCTATACTGTAATTTTCATCCACTGTGTCCTCGTAATCTTGTAGGATGTCGCTATTGAAGAACGTTGCTAGGGCTGATGGGAAGCGATAATCCAGTATAACGATGATAATAGACGCAATCACACAAAACAAACCTAAAACACAAAATCAATTCTCGGCATATAAGTCTACAGAAATCTTAGTGATGAGGGATCCTGGGCAATATAATATAAACATAGAATGGTCAATTAATGTTGGTCACAATCATCCACAATATCATTTTTTAATATCTGCGGTGCTACATCTCAGGAATCGATGACTTTACACCTCCCTTATATGCCAGATGTATTTTTACCACCCATGATATTCCCTGATGTGGAACCCTTCTCTTAAGTGATGATCCTTACCTGTTATCAGGTTCAACCAGAAACACCACCCATACTTAAACATTAATGTTGCATCTTCAAATGGTATGGTAAGATCCGGTCCTGATCTTAGAGTGGCGAATAGAAGATTAGCTAGGAGCATATCTATGCCAGTCAAGGCCATGAAGAACGCCCCATATCGTAGTACTAACAGTAGCAATATGTTGGTGAGTAGCCATAGAGGGAATGCTAACCTGTAAGTGAAAAACAAATACGGACATTCGGCATCGTGAGAGGGCGCTCTAGTTTTCTGGCTCGTGTGACCACAACTTATAGTTTATATATTATTTTATGGTTTGCCATGTTCTTATAAAACATCAAAAATATGATATTACACATGTTAGGTACACATGTTAGCCCCAATGTTTAGTAGCTTAGTTGATTTTTAAGAAAGACAGAAATATCAAATAAATATAATAACACTGATTACACGAATGTATTAGATGACTTATTGTATGGTTGTTTGTGCAGCAAAGACCAGTTTATTGTTTAACATGGTGTTGTAGACATTTGGATATTTGTAATGCATGAAATATCGTCATATATATTAATTTGCTTAATGATTTGATCATATAATCAAAATGAAATAGTGATGCTCTGAGGTTGAAACAACGACTGACACTATGTATGTTTCAATTCCACAATTACAGTGTTATCACACATAGCGACGATGTATTCTGGAACATTTTATTTGAGATGGTTACGACACTTTTTCACTGTCACTGTCATGGTAACATTTACAGGACAATGAACTGCAACTTTACTCACTGACACATGACATTACAGGAACAACATATTCCCTTCTCACACACTACACAATGCTATCACTTACCACATACAAATATGGGTAAAGAATCCGGCTGTTCTGTAAGAGCGCCCCCAACGAATCTCTTCTCCGTCCAATGTAAAGTATTCTACTATCCACAATATAGGGTAGGGCAGTCCCTTGTACTGGGCCGCACGGAACTCTCGACTAATTGGTCCAGCTGAGAAAATAAAATTAGGCCACGTAACACAATTCTTAGGGCTTCATTCTACACCTTCCCTAAACTACAAGACCTTAACGTAAGCTAATACCCCCTCACTTCTTCACGAATCAGTAAGAATTTTATTTATTCTTTAACTTTCCTTCTGTTTTTTGTTCTTCACGAATCAGTGTTTAACTTCCCTTCTGTTTTTTATTTGTCTTCGCTTTAAAAATTTCACTCTTAATTAAGAGATGTAATTTTTTCTAAATGTATGTGATAAAGGGTTACATTAGTGGGCCATATGATGCAATAATTACGAGTATGATGAAATTTACGTGTTCTTCATTCGGCGGCGGTTTCGACTAACGTGACATAAATAGGGTCTAATATAAGTCACTTTACTTCATTATCGCAGCATTGAGGGACAATACAAACGTTAAGGCTTCGCAAGCATTTCTGTGACATGTGTTACTAGTATATCAGTATGGTGATATGCAATACATAATGTGACTTACCAAATGGTCCAAACCCAAGCCTACCCTGGTTCCAACCATCACTCCAACCAAAACGTTCATTGTAATTAATAGTTTCATCAATTTGTTTCTCGGGCTCACCTGGAAAAATGCAGATACATTTGGATAATGGAAACAGATTTTACGATTCCATACTAGTAATTAATACCGCCCTCTATAGACATACCTTTCAAATATAATACATATTACACTGCATCCATGATACAAATTACAGGTACGTATCATTAAATCAAGATGCATGCTTAACTCAAAACAACGTTTACAGTTGTAGAGTGTTTCACATATATAGATTAATATAATACATATCGAAAACGACGAGGCGTGACGACCACATCCCTCCAATTAATTGCTTATGACATCTCTTACCCTTTACAGTGATATTAACACTACGCAGTCCTATTTTAACACCGATGGTGGCGTTGATTTCTTCAGATGTGAAAGCTTTGTATTGTGTTTTGGTCGATATTTTAGCCGTCTCCCATTCCTGTCCATAATTAGCAACTACAAAAGATACGAGAAGAAAAAAAAACATCACACGAAGAATTAATTAATAATAATTTGTTTCTTTGAGAAACATTTGCATATGCAAATAACATAATGTCTCATGTATTGCGCATTCTGACTAACTAGTTTCGGACAACGTTGCCATATAAGGAAGTAATAATATAGTGCTTGGCCACTATGCATTGCACAACCCGTACTGTAGTTGTGGCCTCGGAGGCATTGCAATACTTACGTATGATAACAGCAAAGACGAATAAACTTAAAGCGGTTCTTAAACACGCGAATAGTCTCTACAGAAAGAAAAACAAATCATCATTAATGTTGTATCCAATAATAACGAAACTAAGATGCAGGCACTTTTGTTTTCATTGTCTCACGTTTTTCATCGAAAATCGCACGATAGTTTTTGGTATACTAGGAATAGGAAATTCCATGTGATAAACTATAACGTGAAAAGATCGAGTTCAGTTCAGACCCGGTTCTCAAATGTATGACACGCATGTCACGTGACGCATTGTTCAACGCTATTTTTTCATATTTAATGTAAATTACATCCATGTATCATGTCCGGCATTAAAGCAAGACTGCGAGTTCTTCTCAACTACTGAACAGACGTACCTTTCAATTTTACGTATATATGTTTAAAGCGCGGTAATCTTTGCGCTGCGCATGTGCGAGATATATGGGTCTCATGTAAACAAAGATGGCGATCTTGACTGTTGCGCAGATCAACGAGTACGAACTGACAGGTTTCCAAGCTTTAATTAGGTAATCACATGTGATTGGAAGGTATCGAAGGAGTCACCAGCGGTAATCAGTGCAAGTCGCGCCCAGGTCAAACCTCATACTTGTGATTTCCATTTGAAGAGCGCATTGGATTGTGGGAAAATCAATGTTTATCAACACAAATGTCGAACATGCGCAGCGCGACGACTACCGCGCTTTAATTATTAATGAACAATTGAATAGCAACAAGAATTTGTCGTGTTTTCACAGTTACAGCAAAAATACCTGTGCAAATAACATGTGACAACATCATATGTCGACTTTTACCTGTCAACGAATACTTCGAGTCCAAAGATCAATTGGCATTTTTATATCACTTTATTTTCGACTAGTTATTGCTCACATCATATCGGTAACTAAAAGAATGTGGCCTTCTAGATGACGTGGCTACGTTACAATCGACAAACACGGCCCGTAAATCATCCTTCGATCAACATGTGGTTGACGAAGAAATAGTAGTAAATTATATTTGTATGTATTTGGTCAAGTAGGTGGTTTATGTTTCGTAACCACTTATGAGTTGCCTCGAATTGTGTCAAGGTATCCAGGTTACGGCATATAACTACAGTATTGTCTAGCGTAAACTACTTCCTTATCTGATCAGGTGGGCGAAGTTTTGCTTGCTATTTCCTTGTGAGCATTTTTTCTCACTGATCCAGCGAGTAAAAGTTAAAGTACGGCTATGAGGACGCTGGCGGTAGTTAACGGCTAGTTTGTGGTCTCGGTTCTGATAATCATCCGATGCCTACATAAGTTGCCGAAGTAATTCTGCGAATTTGGTGATTTTAAGTTTTTTTTTTATTATTTTTGCAACCCCGCCACGTTTTGTTTTCAACCCAACCACCAGCCACCTGCTTAGCTCATTTGGCGGAGTGATCAGACATTCAAACTGAACATATTCGTCGATCAAAAAAAACTGTTGGTTTGAATCACGGTTACTAAAAAACCGTGTTTGAATTCAGGGTGTTCCTGCTTTAAAAATGTGTCATTTTTAAATTTGAGGGGAATGCTGTGCTCTTGCGTAGTGTAAGAACAATAGTACTCTCGTCATAAATGTGTATTGTTGAGAACAAAGAAAGAGTACTTTCTCAGTAAGCAGGTACAGGTAAATGCTGAACGCTATCGAATGTTAGTTCTGGCGGCCCGTTAGCAACGAGCAGTGCTACTTGGCTAAACCAAGTAATTTAGGAATGTACACTACTCTAACATACGAGACATAATCCGAAATTATTCAGAAAAGCGAAAAAACAAAACGTCTCTCGGAAAATTCTTAATTCTTTCTGATAACCTGGAGTCTTTATTCTCATTATAAGACAAGTTTTTATCGTTCTTAATACAAATTACTGTCTTTCTATAGAAAGACCAGACACAATGACAACTGATGATCGTGATACCCCCCCCCCCCCACACACACACACACACTGCCATTTATCTAGTTTGTATTTATAATTGTTCGGGTGTTTTTACTAAATCTGCGTTCGAACAATTACTGTGTCCAGACGGGCTGGTGCGACCAGAGGTTATCATCGGTGTTATCGTATGACTTCGTACGGGGCCCCGACGCCGTAAATCATCCGCAACAATCTGGAGTAGCGTATTTGTATTCTGAGAAGAAGGGGGAAGTTATTGAAAAAATTGGTCGAACAATTACTTTTGCTATAATCGTAAATACTTATTTGGAACGCACTCAATGCATGTTTGTCAAACAAACAGGAATATAATCTAAACAAACAAACAAACAAATCTAAAATGTGAGAAAATAAACTGTGCTAAAAAATTAAAAATAAAATTACCAATAATTATAAAAAATAAAATAAATCCTCATTGGTAAAGCTTGAAGGTTATGGCATAACTAAACTAACTAACTATGGCAAACATTGAAGGAATTTTCTCTATACATGTACTTTGAGACTCCATGGTGATTACAGTAAAATATGTAATGCGTTTCATTCTCAATCTTGTTGCAGTTACACAGGTTGCAAAATCGATTCCAAGTTAGTAGAACTGTATTCAACAAATCAAATAAGAAATCTGTATTACGACGAGGCGAGCAAAATTTTCGTTTGAAACAGATTAAGGTTTGACTATCTGAGTTCGAGAGGGGATCTGTTAACGTACGCGTGCATCCAAAACATTTTGTTCACATTTTCTTGTTTTCAATACATCAGTGTATCCATGTTACGTTTAAAAGAAATCACTGACCTATGAATATATAAATATTAAATACTAGCTGAAACTTCTATCCACCCGAGTTTGTTTATTGAAACACTTAACATTCCTCAGAAAAATTAAAATGGTTACACCATGGAACTATAAACCATATAGTTCCATGGTTACACTAACTACTAGAACACATATATAAAACATACACATTTTACAAAAATCTGAAGGGTATTTTTTCTCACCAAAATGTCGCCCACCATTTGGCCCATACATACTTTCACGAGTTATCCCTATATGGTTCAGAATGGCAGAGTCAAAGGTTTAATGGGTCAACTAACCACACATAGATATGTTACCGTAAGTTCAACTCATGTAGTAAATACCACAAGTAGCGACGTCATACACGTAAACACAAAGACAACTTTCATTGTAATTCATACCGGACACAAACTACGCTTTCTTGGCCAATGACACGTGACTAGACGAGGATTATATTACCACCGAGTCGTGAGTTACACATAACACATCCTGTCACAAACCCTCGTAAAGATGAACAACAACTTAACTTTGCATTTGAATATAAGATTGATGAATGGGTTGACCAAGAAGACGTAAGATCGGGGCCAACTGGGACAATCATTATAGTGATATAGGAGCGGACAGTGACCTGGAATGTTTTATAAAGTCCAGACAAGTTGTATGAATACTAACCTCCTTTCCTCTGATACCTGGTACAATAACAATAAACGAAAAAGCTACAATAAGAACGGCACAAATCAGCCCTGCTTCAAGGACATCGTAAGTTACTGCAGTCTTGTTAGGTGCGTAGTATGGATTTAGCCCATACATACGAAACGCATCAAAGAAACCGTCACTAGATTTGGCACTCTCCATGTCTGCTGAACAATAACTAAATAGAAACGAATAGTGAAATATATTACAAACATGTTGAAAAATAAATTGCAGACATGATTTTACTTTCTAATGTGTGCAACAGTACGTTAAATCAGTGTTTACTTACTTGGTTTGTGTCGTGATAAGTCACCACTGCCGATTCGAGCTGCCCTCGGCTGCCGATTTGGACACGGACCCCCAAAAAAGAAATCGACAAAACTCTGAAGAACGTTTATGCTCACAGCCTAAAATGTTGTTTGAGAATGTCACATGATTTTGAAAGTTTGTCAACTAATTCTAAGAATTACTTGAGGAAGTACAATCGTTTTACTACCCAAACATAGTGCGGATTGTTACAGTGGTGGTAAATCGGTTCGATCTTAACGCCCACTCCAGACGCTTCTACCAATAATTTATGCGGACAATAGTCTCAAATGTCACGAGTTATTTTCCGAATACTTAAAACTAGTTGTTTTAATTCGAAAATGATATACTTAAGTTGTACAAATTAAGTTAATTAGTTAATTGTTAAATTGATTTAATAAAACGCTGACAACCTCTCCTGACGATTGTTGGCTGTGGGTACTGCAGTAGTTAGCACAAAGCCCGCTATTGTCTTCCATTACAGTCCATTGTGCAAGTTGTGTGCATTGCATCCAGGTATCGCCGGTGGATTCGAGTAGTTCTGTAGACTACTACATCAAGTTGACATTTACAAAAATTAAACTGTTATTCAAATCGCAATATTTTGCCATTGTTATTCAAATCGCAATATTTTGCTATTGTTATTCAAATCGCAATATTTTGCTTTTGTCTATTGTCAACCAATGGCCACTTGTCATTCAAGTTAACTTACATAAACTTATATAATACATATACATCTACGCGCCAAATGAAAAATGTCTATTCTATTCTATTCTATTCTATTCTATTCTATTCTATTCTATTCTATTCTATTCTATTCTATTCTATTCTATTCTATTCTATTCTATTCATAAATGAACTACGTGTCATTTATCCTGAATGGTTTTATATGCATTGATCGCACCACAATACCTCTTTGCATTTTTCTATAATTGTTGTAACCTTTCCATCCCATGGGGGGGGGGGGATTTGTGAATGTTATTGAATATATTAAAAATAGATGGTATGTGATCGCACACACGATGAATGGCTATATTCAGTGACGCTAACACGCCCCAAAAACACAGACCCTATATCACATCGTTGTTTATGCCCTTGCACAGTGAATGAGTCATCCTTCCGATTGTGTGCTTTTCATGATTCCATGCCCTGTAAA